GGTGGAGGAGTTTTGTGCATGTACACTGGTGTCCTTGACGACCTCCCTTTGAGGCATTTTTGTGCTAGCTGCATCACTCTGAGCTGTTGAGGCCTGCTCGAAACAAGCGCTGAATTTCTCCCTGAAATTAAATGATCTAAATGTTAACATCCTTTTTCCGATGACACACAGTACTTTAATGGTTCGTTTGGTGTCTAGGATTGAATTGGACTAGATAATTCACTATATTCAAGGTAATCCAATAAAACAATCTTAAGCACCAAACGAACCTAAATATTTAAGATTGATGTAACCTCATATTTTTCAGGAATAAGTTATGACAGCTGAAATATTTTAAATTCTTTCCAATTTTGTGCAATTATTAAGCTCTTTTTAATACAAACATTCTATAGAAACATTACAACAACAACCAGAACTAGCTTATAGCTTGGCATGTTTCGATGAAGAATATTATTACCTGAGATGCATGATGGCAGAGCCATGTGGCAATTTGTTCACTTGAGATGTTGCTGGTTTCCGGCGCGGTACTTCTTGACCTACTGCCCCTGCCATGCCGCGTTGCAGCAGTTTAAGCCGTAACATTGACTGCAAAACAAGCATAATAAGCAAAGTGAATATGTAGATGCATTGGAATTTGCATAAAAAGGAAGAAAATGGTTACATATTTCAACAACGTAATTAAGAACTAAGCTTGTTTAAGAAAATTTGAGTTCAAATGATTGAATAATTAACGTACTTGAATTCGCCCTTTGTGTGAAAATCTTGAAACTGCTCTGCGGTCTACAAGTGTGTCAAGCTCCCTATGCCGGTCACGCTCCAATTGCATAAGCAAATCCGCAAATGCCTGCCTGCCTCTGATCATCCTCGGCGAACTTAAAACCTGAGAGAACCCTTTGTGCAGCTGCTCTGTCTGATCAACCCCGAAAGACCTCTCACGATCGCGCTCTCTAGACGGAGATGCATTGGCACAGGACTGCTGATCATGATCATTATCATCGCTTGGAGATGATAATGGACAGTGTGCTGTCATTGTCAACCGTTTAATGATATCCACAACACGAACCTTCTCTCTTTCTCTTTCCTTTGCATCTAAATTACTCCGGGCATCACTTGTGGCGCTTTCATCAGAATGTGTGTCCTCAACGGAATCCTCAGCAACCGGGCCGGTGTCATACTTTTCATCAACACAAACAGAGTCCCCTGCTTCAGACTCTCTTGATAATTGCTTTTCGAAAACGGGTTGATTCGAAGCAACAGACTCATTGAAAGCACTGGATTCATTGAAAGTATCAAAAATGTTCTCATTCTCATTGAAGCTCAATCCAGAGTTGGACCTGCTCGTCTCTGTGCCGCCATTGGAACTCATCTTGAAACTGTTTGATAGGTTCAGCCTCTTCTCCCATATTTGAACCAGCGAAGAAGCTCCAACTCCCCGATTGGAAATATCCGCCAAGCTATCTGTCCTTGAAAGAGTCCCTTCCTTCATTGATGTCGATGTCCTCGTTGATGAAGGCGCGGAACTAGGCACTGACATAAGCTCTGCCTCCTGGCTCTGTCTCTCCACCATTGCCATTGCTTCTTTCCCTCCTTGTCTCTCAGCCCATCGATCAAGAACCCGAGACTGCCTCGGGCTCATTGTCGAAGAACCATCATCTCTTTCGACATTCTCTATGTTTTGGTCTTGGGAGTTGTTGCTTTCCTTGTCATTAGAGGCAGAGGTTGATGAGACAGAAATGCAGGTGGTGAGGTGATTCCTCACCAAGCTATTCAAATTCTTCTGAAAAGCAGCCTGCGTGGCCCTAGCATTGCTTTCTCTGCACCTGTCTCGCCGATTGTGATCCCTTAACACGCACCCAAAAGGCGCGGTGGAGGCCATTTCAACTTGTGATGACGCCATCTCAGAATTCAAATGGTCTGATGCAATACTGTAATTAAATAAAACTACAGAATTTTCAGAGGAGCCTGAAATCCAAACCAGAAGGAAGAAATTAAAGAACCCATATCGAAATTCGACGGGTGGGGAGATTGAAAACAAAGAATCCAACCTCACAAGAAAAATCTTGTATGTGAGGAGAGGAAGAAAATGGAAGATCCCCAAAGAGTCTGAGAGAGGAAAGAAACAAGCCACTAATTTTCCACGAGAACAGGGGAGCTTTTTTAGGAACAAAGCAATTTGTCATCCGCTAGTATAATACCTCATTCCTTGCAACTTTTGCCTATTTTTGGACAAGCTTTTTGTAGCAACCACCAATGCACAGACAGATAACACAGAGTTGGCCTATTGCTGTTAAAAAAAAAAAATTAAAAGCTAAAAAATTTGAGATTTTGTGTGTATTTTTTGGCGGGTTTGCCTTGGATGTACCTAAATATGAAGGATTGGGGAATCAAAGTCTGAGATTCTAGGAAGCTATATGTGAAAACAGAGGATGAAAAACAGAGGATGGAAACAGAGGAGGCCAGAATTGCACTAATAAAACAGTGAGACAATTTGGTGAGGAAAAGTAGGGATTGAATAAGAGAGAGAGAGAGAGAGAGAGAGAGAGAGAGAGAGAGAGAGATGTTGGTTTTAAGTTCGTTGGGAATGTAGGGTCATATGTTGTTTCCTTTATTGCTCAGTCGGTCTGTCTTATTTTTTCTACCCATATTAACAGAAAAGAATGATTAGATTTAATTCAATTTAGAATACACGACTGAGATTAAAATTTAGTAATTTGAAAAATAAGAAGGTAATTGAAAACACTCAATGCGTGTCCTTATTAGTTGTAACAGTGATCCATTGGAGTCAATGGTTATAAATATTTGGTTGTAACATATAAACACACTAGCCTTTGATAGAAGTCAATGGTTTTACTTAATTCCACCTTTGAATTTTGTTTGCTTCACCGTCAGTGCCATTTTTGGAGCCATTGTTCAACGCCCCATCCAATTTTTACCGTTGGTTTTGAATTTTCTTACCTTTTTAGGTTGGATTTTGTGACATTTCTAGGCTTCTAGCATGTCCAATGCAATATTATGACACAAAACATTGCTATGTGTGTTGTGGTCTATTTTACTAAAGGCATAGAGAGTGCGGTAGAGTTACATGTATAAGGGCTTGAAGAATTTTGTGCATGTTACTTTTCATGGTCATTGCCTTTATTTATAGTAAATTGGATAGGATCTCTTACCTTGTAAGTAATACAATCATAAAAGAGATAAGATCTTCTAGTATCCTAAATATAATCTGGGTAGTGCTATTCACACATCCAATTTTACCTCTCACACACCTTTGTTAACTTTTGGTCCTTGATCTTCTTCGTTTCATTTGAGGGGTGTGCGAGAAGAAAAAATAGGTGTGTGAATAACACTACCCTATAATCTACCAGTGGTTTACACAATCACACATGTGCTATAATTAATATCAATGTGACTATGTTTTCGGATTTTTACTATACAATTGTTTCCAATTTGTTATAAAGAAGAGAGGGTGATAGGTTTATGTGTTTGTTTTAACCAGGTCATTATTTTGTCAAACCAGAAAACACACAATAATCCTACAAAGATCACAGTTTTGTCCACAAATTAATACTGTATTTTTGGCAAGTGATATACGTCCATATTAAATAACAATTTTCTCTTATTGTATTAGGGTTCTGCCGGATTTATTACTCTTTTGGCATGTCTTTTAATGATAAAGAGATTCATTTTACTAGTTCGCTATTACGGGTAGTTCCTACAAAGAATATGACTAATGGACCGACCCGGATTTCTATGAGCGTTGGCAGGTCCTGGAGTGTCTATCAAAGTTGCTAGTGCATTCCCTTGGGTGATCATCACCCCCTGCACCTCACATCTCGCCACTATGAAATATGTTGGGAATTTTGTTTTATTATTAGGAATTTTGAGTTTTTATCAGATATTCAATTGTGCAAACCGTTTATTATATAATGTATAGTGTATAGTGTGGTGCAAAAATACGATCTCTCTAATCGAAAAACAAATAAATTAAGAACATGGGATGAGTAGTAACTTCAATTGAAATTGAATGGTATTTAACGACCAATATTCTTTAAGGAACAAAGGAAGACTACTACTCAAATTGTTTTATCACCAATTATTGATGAAGGTAAAACTATAAAATGCTCATTTGACAAGAGTTTTTTTATTTATTTGTTTGCTACGTTCCCATGTCTCACAAGAGTTTACATTATACAAATGAATTACATATATTTTGTAGTTGCTCCAAACACAACTACTCCAAATTGGTGAGCGATCGATTAAAAAGCTTCAAAATCAACAAGTTATAAGGACTACACCAATATGGTAGTAGCCCTAACTCGGAGTGAAACATGATGCATTTTGTGTTCTTGTGCTGTTTGTGTGATTTGTGATCCAATCTAAATTACTTTAAAGTCTACTTGATTTTGTGTATCAACAAGTTGTATTTCTTGTCCCTTAACATAAATGAACATTGTTGCACAAAAAAGTTTACATGGTAAGAGTATTAAAGTATCCAAATTGAAAGGGGTAACATGCTATTCGATGAAAAACTCAAGGTTTTAAATCGAAATTAATTCTCAAAATTCTATTAATTTTGGAACGGACTGTAATACTTACATGTACATAATACAATATATATCTAACAGTCATATATAATTTATGCAAATATATATACTTATCATAATCCCTATCTGACCGTTAAAATAATAATTATATTAATACATGTAAGTATTATAAATAAACCCCGAATGCCACCTACATTTACCATAGTCCGTTGATAGATTTTCTCATATTGTAGAGATGACAAAATTGTAATTTGGCAAGAGGTCAGGTGCTCATTTAAATAAGGAAGTTTTAACGAAAAGCCTACGATATTGTTCATTTTAACGAAAAGTCATATTTTTACACTAAAAAATTAATTATTATTCACTTTACCATTTATTTTATCTTTATCACTAAAACTTAAAGTTTTCAAACCTTTTTCATTAATTTACTTAATTTCATATTCATATACTTAAGCTTCTGTGAGAGCGAGAGAGAGAGAGAGAGAGAGAGAGAGGACACAGTGAGTAGTGAAAGACAAGGTTTGAAGATGCCGGTAACTTCAACGATGGTGGGAGCCCTGTTGGGGTTGGGCACCCAGATGTACTCCAACGCCCTCCGCAAGCTCCCTTACATGCGCCGTAAATTCCATCTCTTTCTCTCAGTCTTTCAATTTCTCCTTTTATCACTAATCATTTCTCAGGTGATTGAATTGACTCATGAACCCTAACCCCCAATTTGTCCAATGATCCGATTCAGATCCTTGGGAGCACGTTCTGGGCATGGGATTGGGCGCAGTATTCGTTAACCAGCTCGTCAAATGGGACGAACAGCTCAAAGGGGACCTCGATAAGATGCTCGACAAGGCCAAGGCCGCCAACGAACGCCGTTACATAGGTATACATTTCCAGCCCAATATCAAAATTCGATTCATTTCTCAAATTCTCATGATTCAAAATTGTATCTTTCGACAACCCAACAATCCCATTTGTGTTTTGGCGTCTCAATCTTTGAGCTTGGTTTTGATAAGTTCATGTTTCAGATGATTTCTGAATTATCAAAACACACTATGATTAATCTTAGAACCCATGTTTCGTTTGAGTGTTATGATGGATTAAAATACTGTTTTCAGATCGTATTTGCTTGCAAGTGTGGTTTGGATATTGTGGAAATGCTGAATTGAAACATTTTAGGTGAAATTCTGTAGGATATAAGCATATTGTCACTCTTTTTCTCTAGCTCAAATTTGCTTCATTAATGTGCGACCATCATAGAATTGTGAATTAAGAAGACAGTTTCGATTTTCCTAACCAGGAAATCCCGGTCTTCCTGAAATAGGGCCATCTGAGCTCTGAACGTCATGCCAAGGTTGTATTAGCCTATCAGCCTACTAGATAATCTTACTGAATATGGATTGAAAAGAGTAATTTTTTTCATCCTTTCAATATGGCAGTCTAATCCATCCTGTATCTTATTATATGGTTGAAAGGCAAAGACTAAAAAATTCATGCATGTGCTCTTACACCCTAAATAGTTTGCCTACTTGTATTTTTTGGCCGTCTTATTGTTGCATTTTGTCTTAATTTTTTTATCTTATATAATGAGCTGAAGCGTTGGGGTTGTTTTTTTTTCATCAAACTGATTGTGGATTTGAAATCTTGTCAGGAATACTTTTTTAATTCGTTGAGCTGTGCATTACCCATAAATTACAAAACAGTTATGACTTAAAAAGGTTACTATGCATACTACTTCTGAAGTTTTTCCTTAAGTTAATAACTGATGGGCAAAAATAAACTTTTACGAGAGGATGAAGTGGTGCTTGGGATTATTAGGAGGTTCATCTTCTCGTGCTAATGACTCGGATTCAGGTTTAAGCTTTGTTTTGTTTGAATAGACTATGGTTGAGTGAAATGTACAATAAGCTGTTTTGGGTCTTGGATAAACAGATTTGCTACCTGTGTTTCAAACCCCTTCATCCCTTTGTTTTCCTGCAAAAGAATTTGGGGAGGTTCCTACAAGAAAGTTCTCAAACATTGTATCCATGAAATGATGGGGATGTTACTCCACGTTGTTCCACACGTTTTATCTTTCAGATCCCTATTCATCATGTATGATTTTTAGTATACCATAGGCCAAAAGTTGTGAATTATATATCTATGCTTCCCAACTTGCAAAATCCGCCTCAATGATTACTGATTTGTTACATTAGGAATCAAGAGTACATTACAACATCTGGAAGCACCCTTGCAACGGAAAGTGTTTTTCTCTTACCAAGTCATGATTGGTTGTGGATTATGTTAGTTGCTCTCTTTGAGAAGTAAAACTGTATTAGGAGATGCCAAAGGCTGTAACTTATTGCCTACTTATATTTTGTGGAGAACTTGAATTGCTTTACCAGTTTTTGGTTAGGTTTTTAAATTTTTTGTCTGAAGTATGTACCGTACGTTTAGTAGATTCATTCGTTGGTTCACTGTAGCTCTTTTTTATTTCCTTAATTGACTTTTATTTGTGAATGAATTCAATTCAGGAAGTAAAGCAAACATATATAGTTTTTGTGATTTAATCTCAGAAAGTGTATCTTTCATCGGACTCCTTTTCTTTCCTCGCTTAATGTTTCTTCTTCATTGCAGATGAAGATGATGACTAGTTCGCGTCTGAGTTTGTTGAGGCATTTTCATACAGGATCCATGTTCTAAGAGACGGTCCGGCCTTAAAGTTTTAGGCACTTTTTGTTTTTAAATTAATGTTGATATGTTTGCAAGGCTGCTGTAAAAGCCTTCCCAATTTTCTCATCTTCTTGTGATGCATAAGCTTTGAAATACTTTCATATTGCAAAGCTATATGAAAGCTGAACGGCGTGTCTTGTTCTTTAATAATACACTCCGTCTTTCGCGACGAAGATTCTTCAAATTGGTTGCAAGAGTTTTCCTCCTCATTTGTAAAGTGGTTTGGCATATTTGTTTTTGTGAAGTGGTTTGATCACGCACGAACCTGAACGAATCTGCTTAGCTTAAAAATGTACGCCTGTTAGTTAGAGCTTGTAAAAACAGTTGGACCAACTCTTCTCTTTGTTTCTAGGTTTTGGTTCTAATCTGTCTACTCTGATGAAAAGTTACTAGGTCCATAAGCATTCACTTTCCGTCTTGACAATATCATATTTTAAACTACTCTAATGTACGAAATCAAGCCTTGTGCACAGGGGGCGGGTACGCTGCCCTGCCCAAATGGGGGATTCAATTCGAACTCAGATACTACGATTGATTCATAGATGATAACATAAACTCTCACAAACCCGATTCGCATCAGTAGCATCCAGCAACAAAATGCTGCATTATGGTTGCTAGCCCAAACCAAACAGAATGAATAAGTACGTGACAGAATTGATCCCAGTTACTCTTCGGGACAGGGTGGAATATTTATACTAACAACAAATTTTCGTCAACCTCTGAAACGCGGTTCATTACTTATGTATAAGAGTCTAAATTCTTCTTCTCAAACTCCACCGTCCGATGATTCAAAACATGTAGTAGTTGATCACACGCCTGTCGTGACGAAGGCCTCTCTGCTGGGCTGGTTTTCGTGCACTGCAGTGCGATTTCAAGAACCTGGAATGCGGCATTTTCTTCTCCGCATAATAGTGGTTTCAGTGCAGGGTCTATCAACTCTTCACGAGTAGAATCCTGCATTTCGATATGCCTCTCGACCCATCTCACCATGTCTATGTCCACGCCAAAAGATGAATCTGTCGGCATTCTCCCGCTAACAAGCTCCATTAGCACGATCCCCATGCTGTAGACATCACTCTTTTCTGATGCCTTGAGTGAATAAGCATACTCTGGAATCATATGAAATGTTGTTAGAATCAATCGCATAGAACAACCATGTCGAAATCAAACTCAAAATTCAGTATCCAAAATAACAAGAAAGAAGAGTATTCAAAGCATAACTGATTAGTACCTGGTGCTATGTAACCGTAGGATCCAGCGAACCATGTATTCGATTCTGTGTTGGACTCATAAGTCTCGTTAAGTGTCTTGGCAAGGCCAAAATCCCCAAGATGTGCTTCCATGTTGGAATCTAGCAGGACATTGCTCGACTTAATGTCCCTGTGAATGATCTTTGGCACACAGTCATGGTGGAGATACTCCACTCCTTGAGCTAATCCAACCGCAATCTTTAGCCTTGCCTCCCAATCAAGGCTCTTCTTCTTGTTACTTTGTTGTTGGTGTATCCAATCATACACGCTTCCATTCTCCATGTACTCGTATATCAACAGATTGGAGCCTGCTCCTTTGTCGCTGCAGTACCCCATTAACTTCACCAGATGCCGGTGTCTTATCCTCCCAAGCGTCTTAATCTCCGTCGTGAAGCTTTTATTTGCCATAAGATCGTCTTTATACAAAATCTTTTTTACTGCCACAGTTTCTCCTGTGCGCAGTTCAGCTTTGTAAATTACTCCCGACCCTCCTGAGCCAATTACAAACTCGTTGCTCAGATTCTTCGTGGCGTCCATGATGTCTTTCCATTTGATATCCGGCTTGACAGAACCATTTGAGAAGAGCAGTCTTCGCTGAGCATGGGAAGAACTGGTCGAGTACAGGCAGTTCATGTCACTGGCTTTTCGAAAAGCTTCTCGCTTGTGTTTCAAGAGGGAAGCAGCTCCAAATATCAGCAGAGCAATTGCAGATAGAGTACATATGGCAGCAATGGCTACCACCACCGATTCTCTAGGCCCTGTCTGCTTCTTTCTGCCAATGCAGCTTCCAAGAGGGCTTCCACAAAGATGAAAATTTCCTGTGAAGGCATCAGCTGGCCAGTGTGAGAGTTGCTTGCTCAACTTTCCTTGTAGGTTGTTGTAAGAGAGATTAAGCTTTCCCAAGCTGATCATCCCACCAACCGGGGAAGGAACTTCTCCAACAAGTTGGTTGTGAGATAGATCTAGGGCTTCAAGTTTCGACAGTGACCCAATAGAGGCTGGAATCTGACCACTCAAATTATTGTAACTGAGGTCTAAAATGCTCTGAAGATTTTGGAGTTGTCCAAGCTCATAGGGTATGTCACCATCAAATCTGTTCTGTGAGAGCTGAAGCTCATACAGCTTGCCTAGTTTCCCAATAGCCGGAGGAATTGGCCCCGAAAACTGGTTGTGGTCGAGGTTTAGGACGTTAAGCAATTCCAGGTTACCAATCCTAGCAGGGAGGGTTCCATTGAGAGAATTCTCACTCATAGAAAGCACTAGCAGTTTAGAACAATTGAACAATTCATTAGGAAGAGGCCCAGTGAAGCGATTCGAGGACAGCTTCAGCTCTCCTAACTGAGGCAAACCTCCAAACCACCGCGGAACTGTGCCCGAAAGAAGGTTGTCGTTCAAGTCAATGTGGGACAGTTTCTTGCAGGATGAAAGCTCATCCGGTATTGATCCAGTGAGCGAATTTCCGGACACATCCAGCAGTGATAGCTCACTGATATTCCCCAATGCGTGTGGGATTTTACCAGTAAACTGATTCTTCCCCAATCTCAACCTTTCAAGAGATTTCGAATTTCCTAGCCGGGAAGGAATCTCATGATCAAATGCATTGTCAGTCACATCAAACGAAAGAAACGATCTCGAGCCACACAATGCAGCAATGCTCCCATTCAACTTGTTTCTCGACAAATTCACTCTAGTCAAATTTGCCATATGAGCCAATGTATCAGGAAGATTACCTTCAAGCGAGTTGTTGTACAGCATGAACTGCTCCATTGCTTGAAGGGACCCGAAAGTTATTGGTATCCCGCCGGATAAACGGTTATCCGCCAAGTCCAGAATAGTCAGCTTGTGACAGTTCCCCAATGTGGCGGGAATCTCACCCACCAGCTCGTTCTGCCTGATATGAAGGAAGTTCAAATCTTTGAGCCTCCCAATGGTAATCGGAATCTCCCCACTAAACCGGTTTCCGAAAAAATCGATCATCTGCATGCTCGAACAGTTGCCAATCTCCATTGGGATTTCTCCGGAGAGCTGGTTGTCGTACAGATACAGAATCTCAAGCTCCCCAAGCATTCCAATCTCGTTCGGCAGAGGACCCACCAAGTTATTGTGGTACAGAACAAGTGACTGCAGATTGCTGAGGTTTGATATCATTGGAGAAATCGAACCCAGCAAGCTGTTGTTGTGGAGCAACAGATCAGTCAGCTCCACCAGTCCATAAATCTCGTCTGGGATTGACCCGTTGAGCAAGTTATTGGACAAGTCGAGCTGCTTCATTGATCGGCATTGGCCTAATTCTGCTGGGATTTCGCCGAAAATTCCGGAATCCGAAATCATCAGGTGCTCCAAACTTGTTGTGTTGGAACATAGATTTCTTGGTATGACACCGGAAAGATTGTTGTTTGATAAAACTAAGGTTGCCAGCTGAGACATGGTGCCGAATACGTCGGGAATTCCTCCTGTGAGCTTGTTCATGGATAAATCAAGACTCTGAAGATTGGCCAGTTGAGATATGGACTTTGGGACTGGACCTTCAAGTTGGTTCCCCATGAAATTCATGTATTCAAGTTGACTCAGTTCACCGAGTTGACTTGGGATTTGGCCAGTGAGGCTGTTGTTGCCGAAATTCAGGAGCTCGAGGTTGCTGAGACGGCCGAGCTCCGCGGGGATTGTTCCGTTGAGTGTATTGTTAGCAGCTGTGAATACAGTGAGGCTGGAACAGTTCCCCAACTCGGCCGGAATCGGACCCTCGAGCTGATTGAGCTGCAGGATTAAGTTCTCCAGTAGGCCGAGTCGGCCGAGTTGGGGTGGTATTGGACCGTTGAGGTTGCATGAGGCCAAACCAAGCGTGACCAAATTGACAAGATTGCCCAAAGTGGCGGGAATGGACCCAGCGAGCCCATTGTCGCCGATTCTCATGACTCGGAGACTCGTCAGCGAGCCGAGCTGAGTCGGAATGGGCCCATTGAGCTGGTTCGAAAAGAGAAGCAAAGATACCAAGGACGTGAGGTTAGCGATGGTTGGCGGGATGGGACCCGAGAGGCCGTTAGAAGAAAGATCAAGGTGGAGCAGGTTTTGCAAACTACCGAGAGAGGGAGATATCGACCCGGCGAGTGACGAGTCGGAAAGGTTGAGCCCCACCACTTGGACCGAGTTGTCCACCGAGTCAAACCCACAAGTCACACCCCTCCACTTACAAAAATTTTGGTCGCTTTCGGACCATCCATGCAAAACATTTTCTGGGTCTTCCACAATTGCCCTCTTCACCTCCAAAAGAACGCTCAAAGTTGTATTTCCGTCAAGCTTTCCCTCACAGGACATAAGCCCTAATGAAAGATGCAGAAACAGAGCAAGAAAAAGTGGCAAAATTGCATCTGTTACTAAAGCCATTTTTTCTTGACAAAAACAGAGCAGCTCGAAACTAGATTATGAACTTGTTGGAATCAACTGTTTCATTGATGCGTAAGTGTAAAGCTTGCATCTTTAATGTGGGTGTGCTGATAAATTTTTGGGTGGTTGAATGTTGGTCTTGGGTTTTGAGTGCTTGCATGCGAGGGTATGCATGGAAGATTGAATTGGGCGGTAATTGCATGCATCGGAAACTTGGGTTTTCTTTTTCTTGCAGGAGTGTGTTTATGATGGCTGCCTAAAAACGAGTGCAAATCTAGTGAGAGAGAGAGAGAGAAAGAGATAAGAGAGAGAGAGAGAGAGAGAGAGAGAGAATCAATGAGGCTACAAGTTCTTTGTCAGCTGTGCTGCAACTGCAAATTCCCATTAATGTGACAACAACACAAGTTCTTAAATAATGGGATAAAGTTGGATTGAGAATTCAGAAGGTCAAATTAGGTCAGAGAAAGAACAAGAGATTATTTATATATGAAAAATTAGTATCTGGTTTTTAATTTTTAATGTTTATTGGTTAAGATTTTATTAATTTTTA